CAATAATACCAAGAGAAACTAAAGTCTCTATCTTTGTATTTAGAAATTATTGATGGAGACCAAAGGAATTTGTATTCTCAAGCAAAAAAGAACTTTTTTTTCTCCTTTTGTGTCTGGGAGATGGACAGTTCTTTATACATGCAGAAAGAAAAAGAATTTTGGGAGATGGTGGGAATTTGAAAGGATAGAAGGCAGAAATATTTCTTTGAAGGCACAGAGCTACATAGAAATATTGGCGCTACTTTTTTCTAGTTCTGTAACAATTTTGACTTCCTTCAAGGGGAAAGTTGCCTTTAATATAGTTAACAAACATTGATAGGAAAACCACGACCAGGAAGAAGCAAAACCAAAATAAGTAATGCCTGACATTGTCTCTTGGTTCTCAGTCCCTCAAATCTTACCCTGTCCCTTCCATGCAACACAGTTAGAACTCACCTCTCAGATAGACTAGGCTCAAAGTCTAATGAAGGCACGGGTGCAAACAAAGAATTCTGGATGTAGTACAAGATATATCCACAGGACCAGAGAAGAGAGCACAACCGCACTTACAATGACAGACTCTTAAAGAGCTAGTAAAAGTTTTCCAGGAGAAAAAGTATTGGAACACATGGGGAGGATACTTAATAGAAGAAGAAGCACACATGTGAAGCAGTCTACTAGCTTGTGTGAGGGGCAGTACTGTTGGTTGTTACCGTCTAAGGTAGCAGCTGTTTATCAGAGCCTGGAGACATGGGCAGGTGTGAAAAATGGAGAGAGATTTGTGGACTTGCTGTGGAAATTATCTGTCTTCCTTCAGCTGAGGGAAAGTAGCTAAGAATGCAAAGTGGTTAGTAATCTTTCTGTGCTCAGCACCTGTTAGGCAATCAGACATCATATGATCTCAGAATAATATTTTAATTGCATAAATAAGCTAATTATACTGACATAGAACTATCAAAATATTTACGCAGTGCATAACATAGTAAAACTTGCACTTTTTATCAACACTTCATTATAATTTCAAATAATTTTTAGTGTCAATAGCATTTTGGAATATCTGCAGCTGTAGTGCCATACTTAAAGATCTATTGTACCTCTACTGGCAGCAATTGGTAAGAAAATCATAGGTATTCCAAATACTACTCTAGTTTATGGCCCACTAAATGAAGGGTCAGATTCATTTTTTAGAAGGGCCATACTTGTGGTCACACTGGCATAAATTTGAAGATAGAAAACTTGATTAAGGACAAAGAGCTAATGTAAAAGGAGAACCATTTGGGATTGAACCAGGGTCTTATGGATAGACATTGAAAGAGGACAATAACTTAAACTCGGGAGTTTAATTCCACTGAAATTAATAACAGAAGAGAAGAGGCAAGTTGGATAAAGTGCTTCCCAAGAAGATACAGAAATTGGACAACAGTGCCAAAGCAGAGAAATTAAGAAATGGGTCATGTTTGTGGTGATAATTCTGGAGATACTGATGAAGTTTATTTTAGGAAAATTGTGATAGCATCTGTGACCCTTAGAGTAGTGATATGCCCTAGTGTGTAGGCAGCTACATATGAGCCAGAAGCACTAGAAAATTACATGCCTTGAGCTGTGAATTTGTAAGTAGCAGGTGCTTGTGAAGGTTAGAGAGAAAAGGCTACTCTTCACAGTGCGGATGTTGAGTGAACACAAGTGACAAAGAATGGCTCTTTCATGTCGAAGGCATAGATGGAAGACAGGGAACACATGAAAGTATTAAGAGAAAGAACAGAGAAATAAAAGAAGAACCAATATAGAATACATGATAAGGAAATAGAAATTTCTAAGAGAATGAATGCCCCAATGGTGTCAAACACATCAGAAATATGCTTAGATTTAGAATGGTAAGCTGTATTCTGGGATTTATAGCATGTATATAACTGATAAGTTTTGGTGAGGCATATTAGTTGAAGAGCAGATTTAGAATCTATAAAGCAATGGAGATAGTGGTGATGTGGGAATAAAACGGAAGGTGGGACATGGGATCTGTGAATACAGATGCATGTTCTGCAAATTTAGAGACAACCTAAAGAATGTCCATAGAATAAAGTCCAGCAGAGTTGAAGAGAATTAAAATGTAGAAGAGATATTTTCATTATTTGTGAAATTTGACAGAGCCAATGGCAGTGCCCAGGTGTTGAGAATGGGCTCATGTAGTCAAAGGGATCCCACACCCCTGAAACTGAAGGCAGGCAGTAAGATCACAGGACAGGAAACCCACACATCTTCATATTTCACTGTCCTGAATTTCTTGGTGAAGTACAGAATGTTAACTATATCTGGTGGGGATAGGAGACTTGGCACTGTGGAAGACTTTAAATAGTTGTAGAGGAATAAAAGCACTTACAGGCGCTAGTAAATGTATTGTTTTTCACTTGCATTTACTTTTTTTTCCTGTACTTTAGAGAAGGTTCTACAGGGTCCCCAGAGTCTCACTATTAGATTGGACTCATAGTGAATCTCCTGCTTACAGCCTCCCAAGTGCTGGGATTACAGGCATGTGCCACCATACCCAGTCCCAATCGCTGTCTCAGCATGCCCCGGGGACAGGGCTGGCACAGCAGGCCCTGGGATCAAACCATGAGCCTACTTGCAGGGGCTTTAATCCACTGAGCTATTTGGCCAGCCAATTGCATTTACTTTTAGACAACATTCCCCATGGCCTTTTCATCAACTTGCCCATCACCTCTGCTGGCGATGATTCCATTGCCACACCAGGGCAATCTGAAGATGAGCTCACACTTACCTGAGATGGGAAAACTCTGCCTCTTTCCCTTTTTCAAATTCATATAGATTTCAAACATTTCATCACCTCCAAAACAGATGACTTTGATGATGGGAATTTTAGAAATAGATTCATGTGGCTGTTGTAGCTGTAAGTGAGGGGCCACTCTCTATATAAAATAGCATGAAAACTGGCAAATATTTTATATACGAGACAAGCTAGGGAGAAAAAGAGGTTGGAGAAGAAAACTCTGCAAAATTTTAACTACCACTTACGAAATTACGAACATCTTGAGGATTTGGTTCTTTCAGCACTGTCCATTCTATTAGGGTTTCCCAATCAGTTTAAGAAAACTCTATCCTAAGAGGTGGAGACAAAGTTTTACTGACTTTTGTACTTTTCCACCTTGATATAACTTAAGACTCAGTTGGAGAATTGAGAGACCACTATTTTGTTTAACTTAATCACATTATTTGATCTAAGAGAAGTGTCAAAATAAAAGTAGATCTCTGTCTTGGTCATGTCGAACACTAAAGTTATCTTTGACTAATGAGCTACAAAATGTGCATGCCACTGGATCTGACTTGAAATTCTCTTTTTGAGAATAATTAAAATACTAAAATATTTTGTGGGGTTGGGGAAACAGCTTGGTGGCATAAGTGCCTGCCTGGCAAGCACAAGGTCCCAAATTCAATCCCCAGTACCACATGTTGTGCCAGCCCCGGAACACTGGGCACACCATGCTGGCCCAGAACAGGGCATGGTGACACATGCCTGTAATCCCAGCACTGGGGAGGCTGAGACAGGAGGATCACTATAAGTCTGAACTGCATAGCAAGACCCTGTATCAAATAAGAAAGAAAGAAGAGAGAGAGAGAGTGTGTTGGGGCCAAGGCGAGAGCTCAGAAGCAGAATAAGTGCTTGCCTGGCAAGTGCAGGGTCCTGAGTTCAACCCCTGGTCCCACAAAGAAAGAAAGAAAGAAAGAAAGAAAGAAAGAAAGAAAGAAAGAAAGAAAGAAAAAAGAAAAAATATTTTGTGGCACAGACATCAAACGAGAGGTCAGAGGTCTCAACCACACTAACAGTTGTATTTGTGTTACATATTACTCTTCAGTCTTGTAGAATTCCCTTTCTCTGCACTGATTAAATGATAGGGTTCCACAGAGCTCTCTTGATTATCTGTCCATATTGTGAAATCAAGTCCTTATTTAGGGCCAGGAATTTTGTTCCTTTAATTTTTTTTTAATTTACTCTCACGCAAATACCATTATTTGAGATGGCTGTTACGCAATAAGAGCTAGAGTATTAATGATTAGGTGAAGGTGCTGATTAAGCTTTTGTTAATACTTAATGAAATGAGTATTCTCAATTTTTTTCTAGGAAATCTTTTGTTGATTATATTTGTGAGTTATTTTGGAACTAAACTGCATAGACCTATAATGATTGGTGTTGGATGTGCGATTATGGGACTAGGTTGTTTCTTAATATCGCTACCTCATTTTCTCATGGACCGGTAAGTATTCCAGTCTTTGATGATATTTTAAATTCAACTTTCACCTACAGGGAGTGAGGTTTGGAATTTCCTCTCTGGGAACAATACTTTTTCCAAAACCACTGACTCTAGAACAGAAACTGGAAGATGTGGAATTTGTTCCATTCCATCAACCCATTTTGTGTCATTTTTGGTCTCCTCCCCACTAACACAGAGATGTTTAGCCAGGTTGTGAAACTGGACTTTTGGACACCTCTTTTAGGAAAGAAAATATGATGAAAGAGTTCTCAGCACCTGCCAATATGCAATTGGCATAGGGTCAATATTCCTCACTCAGGCCTATGTAGTCTCTTCTAATTAGAGTGAAGTTTTGTTTGATGGGAGATCAACAAGACACAGGCCATTTAAAATGTTGACTTTTATTTTAATTTTTAACCAAAACCATATATGTTCAAAATTATACAATTAAAATAGTATTGAAAGAATTGATTCCTTCTCGGGTCGGCCACATAGCTCAGCAGATTAAAGTGCCTGCAAGCAGAGAGTTTGATCTCCGAGTCTGCCAAGCTGGCCCCACTCCGGAGGTACACTGAGATTGCAACTGAGACTGGGCGTGGTGTTGCACGCCTGTAATCCCCACTCATGGGAGGCTGTAAACAGGAGGGTTACTACAGTCCGATCTAGTAGTAAGATCCTAAACATACCCTGTAGATCTTTCCCTAAAATACAAAAAAGAAAAAAAAAAAAAAAGAATTGATTCCTTCTCTTTCTTCCTGTCTTCCAGAGGCAACAACTTACAACTCTTTTGTTCTTTCTTCTATTTGCTTCTTTAACTTATTAGCTTTTTATACCTCAGTTTTATAATACATTTTAAGTTCCTGCTATGAAATCCTTACTATTTAATTTTTTAATCTGACATCGCTTTTCACCCCTGAACCATGCTGCTATCTTGCCTTTGTTATGCAATTTTCATTTTTTCTTGAATTTAAGAATCACTTCATTTGTTTTGTTTCATTTTATTATACACTTTATATCTGTAATCCCTCAACAATCAATGGGGCAAATGTCTTCTCAGTGCAGACTGAAAGATTCACTTCTGTCTTGCAGATGCATCTATTAACCCTCCAAACTAGGAGCTCTCCAGACCTCTTGCACTGCTGGCTTCTGGGAATTTCCCCTCATTCTTACACTTCGGAAGTTTCTCTAGCTCTTCCTTAGATTTAATTACTCATCTCATGAATGTTACGTCTTCTGCTTCCCTTTTCTATTCTTATTCCTTTCTGTTCAGAAAGTACTAGCTTTCTGAGAAAACATGAAAGTGTAAGATTTGTGACCTGCTTTATCAGAAAAATTTTTACTTCTGTGCTTAACATATAGTTTGTCTAGGAAGACATTCTCAGTAGAAATAGTTTCCTGAAAGATTTACAAGACTTTATTTTACAGGTGTTAGCTTGTTTCCACTATAACTATTATATTTGTTCAGAATCCTGGGTTGTTCCCTTCCCCACTATCTAGTTATTTTTTCTGGGAGACACTGGGTTTGTATTTTAAACTCCTGTCTCATGCACAGCCTCCATGTGCTGGGGCAGTGGAGTAAGTTTCTGAGAGACACCTCAGGAATTACCCCATGATGGCTTGTGAGAGATAAGGACTATTTAAGGACCAACAGGAAATATAGGGTTGAGGCTAACTAGCAGACAAGAATAGATTCTAATGATGCTGCATGGGACAGGAAAGTTACTAGAAATGTCTAAGAGTCATGAGCTAGATGGATCATTGGAAAGGCCAGGGTCACAAGTTTGGACAGGACAATCCCCAGAAGAAGCCTAAAGTATTCCCTGAAGCTCAGCTCCAGTGCAGCCCTACACACTATGCTGCTGTCCACACAATTATTTCCCTGAAAGGGTTTTATACAGTGAACTACAGACAAGTGGCATCGGTAACTTGCCTTGTCCCATTTTATGACCAGCACTCCAAGAAAAAGCTGGCTTTATATCCAGTGAGGAAAGAATGTTCAACAGGAACCCTAGTTTACCTAGGTCTCAGTGTCCCTCGGATAACATTTCTTGGCACTGTCCAGCTTCTGTCCTTGAACAATGTTCCTTTGATTTGTCAAGAGCCTCAGAAACATGAAAGGAGTGAAATTTCAGGGAAATGTTGTTAAATGTCCTAGTGTTTTTCAGAGATAGTAAAGCTCCAAAGTATGGCATTTTGCTTTTCCTCCACCATGCTAGATACTTTCAATCTGGACCTTTGAAACAGTTATAGTTCTCTTTTTGATAATCTCTTCCCTACTCCACCTCCTCTCATCCTGTTTTTTTTTTTTTCTCTTCATAGAACTTCTACTATTTGAATATTGGGCATCTTGGGCTAAGTTTACCTTTTCTCATCTTCTTATCCTAATTTTAAGTCTTACTTTCTTGTTAGCTTCAAGGATATTTAACATCCACATCTGGAGCTGCAAGCTTACATTATTATATTTTCAACTTTCAAAGATTTTTATTCTTTAAATAGCTTTATTGAAGGAGCATCTTGCTATCCTTTCACGAAGGCAGTGTCTTTCTCTATGTAAGTTTTCTTCTTCTGTCCTTACTCCCCAAAGTATAGTTATCCTCTTTGTCTCTGTCTTTAAGTATTATATGTATCTACTATATATCTGGTGCTGGGTTATCAGTTTGTATTTGAGAACAACAACAACAGTGACAAGCTAACTAGAAATTTTGAACTATGTGCATGTTTTGTTCAATGGAAGGCTTCTTCACAGACTGACTGAGCCGAGCCTACTTGTTTTTCAGTTGGCTCAGAACTATGTAAAACCTATTATTTATTTTAGGCAGAGATCAGTGATTCTCCTATTGGTTACATGGAAAGTAGAATTTTGGATACTGGCGAGATGGAGTTGGCAATGTTGCCTTTTAGTATGTAGAAGATTTTTCACGCAGTATCCTTAGTTTAGAGTTTGTCATCCCTGTCTTCACTGTGTCTGTTCAAACTTGCTAGATTCAATGGGCATTTTAAGTTGGAATCGCAGTGAATGTCTCTGGAGGACTAATTATCCCTTAAATATACTTTAAATTAAATGTTAAAGCTTTGGGATCATTCCTACTTCCCATCACCATCTTGCCTGAGCCTCTCCAGGTAAGTATGGCATAGAAAACTTTTCTGTTTTCCAGTTTTCATTGAGCTCTTTCTTGTTGTCAAATCTTCCCGGTCTCTTCATCCTTGTGGATTGTTCCTTTTTATTTTCCAATTTGCGATGATTTTACTGACACTTTACTGATATGTTAAAAAAAATGACTTTGAATGAATACCTGAGTTTTAAGCAGATAAACAAATAAAAGCCATTTTGTCCTTTGTTATTTTCAACAGGATCAGAAGTTTCTAAGGAAAGAGCTTTACTGTTCTTTACTTCCTATTCTACTCAAGACAATGCTAAGTAATGTTCAACTATTATTTACACTCTTTACCTCTGTGCCAAACTCTTGTTTTCTTTGAAGCTGTTGTGTCCCATAGGATCACAAGTAGGGAGACAGAAGTCTTTGTTCAGAGTTCATGGCCAGGCTCTGTGGCTCTGCCTGGGCTATTGCAAGAGAAAGGTATTTTGACCCTTTTGATTTTGCTGTATAGTACTGAAATTAACACTACCAGGGGCATCCAAGGACAACACTCTAATTTATGTGGAACGCAGAAGGGTAAATTTATTTTGGCTCTTATCTCATAAACACAGAGAGAAAAACCAACAAAATTTTCAGCAAAGACTTAATTGGAAATATTTTCCTCCACTCTTGTAGCATGTAATTCACTTTCTGAGAAAGGACGTGCATCCTGTGGTACTTTGTCTAAGCTAAATGTCTATAGTTATTAACTTTTGTGCTTATATAAAAAAGAGTCATTATATTACGCTGTCTAGTGATTGAAATTCTTCCAAAGCCTCTTATTACAAACACAACATTTTATGTTTCCTTAGGGTTTAAAGAATACATGCAGGAAGTATTATTTGGATTCTCCCAAAATAGAGGTTATTCTTAGGAGGAAACCTCAGAAAAATCAAAGCATGGATATTTATTTTATTGTAAATTTTTGTCCAAAAACATTTACCTTCATAATTATACTTCATTGAAGCTCTTAATTTTCTTGCCTTTTGTTCCTCATCCCACAATTAATTACTTCCAGGAAATAGTCACCTAAAAAAAAATCATAGAACACTGCTGATAAGTAATCTTAAGGGCTTAAACTTACACACAAACAATTAAAAGCTAACTATGAAAGGCTAACAGATTTTCAGTAAGCAGCGAGTTCTATTAGTGATATGAATTGATGGTAGTTACAAAGGCAAAAATGAATTTTTTTCAGATTTGGATGTTGTGGTTTTTGTCAAGCAGGAGTAAATATGCTGCAGCATATTCACACAGTCCTCATATACTCCTTAACATGAATGTCTGCCCTATGTTCATGCAGATATGAATACGAATCTACAGTTTCTGTCTCGAGCAACTTCTCCTCATCCAGTTTCTTATGCATGGAAAATAGAACCGAGACTTCCAGACCAACCCAAGATCCATCAGGTTGTCTACTTCTCTTTTATTTTTTTTTCTGTTCAGTGAATTGGTAGCTAAATGCTTTCTCTTTAAGAGCTTTGAATGAGGTATCGAATAAGGTCAATGAACCAAAAACACTTTCCCTCTTCAGGAATTTTAGAAGGGATCACAGAGAAGAACAGGCACAATTAATAACACAGAATACAATTTTTCTTATAATTGAACTTAAGATTTTCTTCTCTGTATATTTTTTAAATCTTTAAAAAATATCCATCCTAGGATCACGGTAGAGTTAATCTCAGGAATACATCTTAGAAGAATAGATTTATGTTCATGGTAGCATTTATGGAGCAAAATTCAAGAATATTTGTGATGTATGTCACTGATGTTATGCAGCAGGAAAAACAGAAAACATGCTGTGATTCAGAACTCCTGGATTCCCTTTCCACTGCTAGCAACTTATCATTCTGTCCTTTCTCCATTCTCTAACAGAGATACTGCTTTACAACCCAACACAATAGCAATGCTTTTCTAGTTTCTTGTGCTCCAAGTACCAATGTGTTGACCTCTACCTTCCAGTAGCTCAGGGAGCTAAATAATCTGATGATCCTTGATATGGAGGTGACTGAGGCTCTTCCTCAGGCCAGAACTTCTCCCCAGTGTGGAGGACATATTGTCTGCTGGATTCATGTCACCAGAAGCTGCCCTGATCCCCAAGGGTGGCACAAAAGGATTCACCAGATCAGTATATGAAGGGCCTGGAGGACAGTAGGAGCAAACAACAAAAAGATAATTCTGATAGTAATAAAAATTCAAATGTGAAGGTTGAAGTCAGAAAACTAATGGCAAGGATTTAGTTTGCAGGCAATATCCTTAAAATTCCTGCTTGCTGACCCAGCTCACTGGTTTTTTATTATTTTTTACTTTTTAAAAAATTTCTTAACGTATTTAGGACAGGGTCTATAGGATCTACAGGGTCTCTTAGATTGGACTCATAGTGATTCTCCTGTTTTCAGCCTCCCAAACTCTGGGATTACAGGCTCAGGCCACCACGCCCAGTCTCAATAACCATCTCAGCATGCTCCAGGGGCAGGGCCAGCACAGCAGGCCTGGGATAAAACCCTGGCCACTGCACTCTGCCTAATCAAAGTTTTAGTCCACTGATCTATCTGGCCAGGCCTCACCATCATTTTAATTGCATTAAGTTAATTCAATAACTTTTTATCAATGTTGGTCTGAGTTAGCATTTCAATGGTAATATTTTAGGAATAGCTGCTCACAGTTTGAGCAGTTTGGATGGAATTAACTAAGGTGAATGAAGTTGTCATTGCGGCTGTCACAAAAATGAATGTCCAGAAAACATCTTTGTTTGATAAGCCTAAGTGTTGAAATAATTAGTTTAAGGGCATTAGGGAGCCAAGCTTTAGCTTGTTGTCTGAGTACCATCATATGAATGACATTTAGCTGAGAGATATTAGCAATTACTTATATACCACTGGAGCTATAAAGGAATAAAATAACTATTCCCAGTGATATTGAATTTACATAATGGAAATTCTTTTGTCATGACATGCCATTTGTGCCTAACAGGTGTCAACCATTGGAATAGCCAGAATTGCTAAGGTCTCTCTCAAGTAGTGTATCGTCAAGAGATGGCAGTTACATTTTGCCTCTATATAAAGTATCATTAGGGCAAAGAGATGAGCTTGATTTTTTTTTTTATGTAACTGTTTGTAAGACAGGTGAGGTAAGAACATGAGCCCAATGAATCAAGTCACTTACTCTAGGTATAGATGTCAGGAAACTCAGAAAGAAAAAGAGGCTCTAATAAAACTTTGAAAAGAAAAAAAAAAAGAAAAAGAGGCTCTTGACCTTTGTAATTTTGGAGTTACAAGTGACCTACATGATCTTTGCAAGAAGGAGGGTTTCACAAGTAATGAGAATTCCTGTGCCTTGCAGCATCTGGTTTTTTTTTTTTTTCTTTCTGCTGTGAAGCCTACTGTATTACTATTTAGAAAAATTTAAGTTTTATTAAATTAAGTCTTGGTCCATATTCCCCTTTTCTTGTTTTATAAATTGAGTTTTAAGGAGCTCACTGGCTTGCTTTATAATGGCTTGAGGACCAGCCAAATACCTCAGTGGACTAAAACAACTACAAGCAGTCACAGAGCCTGGGGGTTCAATCCCTGGGCCTGCCATGCCAGTCCCGCTCCCAGGGTGCACTGACATGGCAATTGAGATTGGGTGTGTAGGTGCATGCCTGTAATCCCAGCACTTGGGAGGCTGTAAAAAGGCAGATCACTATGAGTCTGATC